AAGTTTTTTTTCGGAGCTAAATGTAATGAATTTGTTTATCTATGAAAATCTTTTGTAATAATTTGAAGTAAAACTTGTCTATAATTTTTTCGATCTATATCAGATACGCGATAGATGCAATTATTTTATTCAAGCGTAAAATGTAAAGACAAAATGTCGATAAATTTTTAAGGTTTTTCCTTATTTAAATAAGCTAACCACTTTCATCTGAATGTAAAAGCAAAGAGGATGACTGTGAAGGCTGGTGTGAACATATACTGATCGCTTTCATAGTTCGTCCCTTGAGGGAAACCGACATCAGTGTCTTGTGATTTGCTTTTATTTTGTGAAGCAATTCCTTGAGGCATTTTGTCGTCTTTTTGATCTCGCCAGAAACAACCTGAATTTCTTTCATCAAATAATTTCACTGAATATGTTAAAACGTGTCTTGCGTCTGTCACTCTGGTCTTGAAATAAATATATAGATGATTATGTAGCTACAGAAGCTGGACTCAACCAAAAATCTCCATTCCTGTGATTTTTATTAAAATAATTTAGATCTGATCGGAATGAGTGTCTAGTTCGAATTCTAGTGACGTCCATTACAGTGACTTACGCGTAAATTCCCATGGGAAATAGTATGCAACCCATCACTAATCATACCAAACTATGGGTTGAATAGCAGGAAAGACTTGGTCCTATAGCCTTTGTTGGTAACCAGTTTATTGCAGAAAGAAATATCAACCTACTGCAGGAAAATCTTCAAACAAGAATCGAAAGAGACATGATCGTGCAAACCAATGTCATCTATCTCGCTTAACTAACCAACCAACCCTTGCCTAAGCAAAAACAAGAAAAGCCATAAATTTGAAGTTTCTTTCGTTCAGGAAAATTGGTTTTAAAATTAATTTGTTTGCATTATTTAATAAGTTAGATTCAATAAAGTTTGGCGACGTAATATAATCTTTTTGACGTGCATGTATTGTTGGTGATATTATTATTATTATTATTATTATTATTATTAGACTCTCGAAGTAATTCCTCCGTAAAGAATTATTTTCTTTTTTAATTAGGGTGGCATTAGTAAAATCAAAGTTATGGTCTGTTCTGATTATTATAAGCAAGATTGGTCATATTAGTACTGGGTGACCCCAAAAAACGGGAACTTTTTAACAATCCAATAAAACCAAGAGTGATGGAAGAAAAATATTTTATTCATAGTAATAGAAACATGCCATTTAAGAAAAAATGATGGAATTTTCATTTTTTAAAAATTACGTCCTGTAGATGGCGTCCTCCTGTACGAATGCATTCTTGAAATCTTCTGCAACATCTCAGCTGGGATACTGTGAATTTCATCTTGAATTCTAAATGGCGAAATGTTTACTTGCTCAAGGTCACTGCCTTGCAGTGTTGCCACTTGCTCAAGGTCACTGCCTTGCAGTGTTGCCACTTGCTCAAGGTCACTGCCTTGCAGTGTTGCCACTTGCTCATGTCTGGCAATACGCACTTCAAAAATTCCCGTTTTTTAGGGGTCACCCTATATTATTAAACTCTCGAAGTAGAGGATGGTCCTAAAGTCTCGTCATTCCTACATAATATAATTTTCTATTTCAGATGGCTGACACGATCTCCTACTGTTTGGAAGAGATACTGCGATCTCCTACTGTTTGGAAGAGATACTGCATCAATTAAGAACAAGTCGAAGACCCTCAGCGCACTGTGGGGTATTATCAAGTTTCACATGAACGACACCAAAATCCGGTATCGCTGACAAAATTGACCTGGACGTTGATCTCGAAAAGGACCTCCAATCTGTTATTGACGGGGGCAAGAAATGGGTGTTTCTACTCTCTTTTACCGACCACAGAGAACCTCCCATTAGAATGTCTGATGCTCAACTCCACGAGAGCACCTCTCTACAACTGCATGGTCTCGCACTATCCGCTAATCTGAAATGGAACAAATACATTGAATCAATAGCTTCATTTACCGCAAGGAAAGTTGATTTTCTCTGTGTCATGCCAGAAAGCTTTTCTCGCCCGAGTCCATCTCTCAGAGACATACCATCGCTTCCCTCTGTCTTTTTTACAATTAGTTTCACGGTAACTGCTCCGACGAGTTACTTTTGCTAGTTCCCCAACTGCATGAATTTAAGCGTGCTACTACGTCGGCATCTCAGTCTCACCCTTTCACTGTCGAAATGGTTAAGTGCAGCCATCTCTTCTACTTCAATAGCTTCATGTCTCGCACTTCCTATCTGTGGAACTCCCTTCCTCTTACTTGCTTCCCTGATAGCTATAATCTCCAACTATTCAAATGCAATATCAATCGGCATATGCAGATGCCTTGATCTATTTCCTGTCCTTCTCTTCATCCTTTCCTCTTTCGCGCCTCTTTACTCTTGCCCCCACTCTCTGTAACCCCTTGAGTGCTATTGGAATCCCGCCTTGCTTGGGGTGAAATGCTTAAAAAAAAATAAGAATACTGATCAGTTGACGGAGGCTTTTCCATTCTGAGACCCTTTGCAACAATTAACAAAGTAAAGCTTCGTAAAATATCACACAAAACAGGACGCCATTTTGTGTCATTAAAAATGATGGTGTTCATACAGGCCTTCTTGATGTGTAACAGCGTCAATCAAAGTGAATAATTTGGTTTGATTTGGTTCGTTTTACGGCATATAAACGTCAATGGGTTATTTAATGCCGACAATTTTTATTGCTTGTAATATTTCTTTTTTCAAAAATTTATTGATGGTAATAATTAAAAAAAAAAAAAAAAATTCTGGAATTAAAACCTATTTTTACACTTTCATTGTGTTTTGACCCCAGTTTCGGGGTTAACTATTTACCCATAGTGGGGAACCTAACAGGTGCTACCATCCCGGGTCAGTGTGGACTTGGGAACATCAGCAATGAAGAGTTGGTTACACGCTCCTTAAAATCTCAGAGATCTTGCTGGTGGACGTAGTTTATCGTCTTACCCAGGACACGGATGTAGTTTATCGTCATACCCGTGACGCGAAAGTGAATAAACAGAATCCTGTATATGTGCTTTGTATTACTGTATTACTTGTTTTCATTACTTTTTGGTAGGAGCGAAAAGACTTTCGGACAACCTCGTACATTGTCCCTATCACTTCTGTTATTGTCACAACGTTTTGGTTGTCCGGCCGTCATCAGGTGCTTGTCAATCCGTGTAACCATTAGGGAATTTCGAAAAGACCCCTGGAACTAATCTACGGGGGCAGACAGTTCTCGTTTCGTAGACAGTTTCTCGGGATTTCTCGTCTTCGTCTTATTTAGCACAGTTCAGTTATTCTGCGCCTGTTTACGTCTGCGTTACCCGGTTCAGGGATTGAACTCATGAACGTTGTGTTACTAATAACAAAGATGATTATAATGGCCCGATTTTAAACAAAATAAATAATATCACCTCATCACAAAAAATCAAACGAGGAAATCAATTTATTTCGAGAAAACATACTTTGCATATTTAATTTTATAATAATATGTTCTCAATTACCCGGTTTACAGTGAATATGGTGATTTTCTTAGCGTAGCTTAGATGCGGCACAAGGCCGAAAGTTTGGGGCACCCAGTGAGGATAGAACTCACTACTCGGTCGTAATTGTTCTAGCGAAACAGGCTTGCTAACCATTACACCACGTTGAAGTACCCAAGGCTTACACTGAATATGTCTGTGTGACCGCACACGCCTATGCGTATATGCGGTGTACGCAGCATACATATTTTTCTCCTTTATTACATCCGGACAAAGATCAATAAGCCTAACAAATTTTAATCTGAAATTGTGGCTTTAAAATGTCCAATCCATATGAATAATTGAAAAGCTTTGGATTGGGTGCATTGACAAAGAATGAGATTAGACTGAAAGATAAATAATTTTTTTTTCTTCTTTTACCTACGGCGCATTCACATTCACACTAATGCTCTTGGGAAAGGTATGAATCCATTACACCCCCCTCGAAATGCCGTTGTTAGCAGCAAGTAATATGAATGAATGACCTCTGTTCTTATTGTAGGTATTCACATTTTAGAATTATGACATGTTGAAAATAGTAATAATAGCCAACAAAAAAGTGGCAATAAGACCAAGACATGAATTTGAATTTATGCATTTTTTTTGTTCTTTGTTTATAATGAATATAATTTAGTTATTAGATTGTTTATTGGAATGGTTGGCATCAGCTAATTGCAAATTGATTCGAACTTTATAAAATGGTAAATAAGGATTAATTTATAGTAGGTTCGAATATTTTAATAATTGAGTAAATGTTTATATATTTAGGAATAAAAAATTGTTTTCATATTTATTTCTTTATAAATTTTCAAACGATAAATTTTGCATTAGTTTTACTTGTATTAGTTTTTAGAATGTTGTGATCAAACATTTTGATCAAATATGGATCCTAAACCAACAAAATGATAAGATATGGAGAAAAAAAAGAAATAAATTCAGTTATTTTTACTTTTGTGTTGTTTGATTGGTCAATCATGTACCACTTGCATTCGACTCTTAAACCAACGCTAGTATAATTTTTACCGTTCTGAATTGAAGGAGAGGTGACATGCTAATTTTCAAGAAATTAACAGATCACAGGTCTACCTGAAAAAATATTGTTATATGTATAAGAATTCTAGTTTGTTTACATCGGAATCAGATCATAATTTCAATTCGTAATTGTGTGTATCTGTGTGTGCATGTAGGTTTGTTTCTAGTACACATTATATTTGCTGAATTTTCGCATGTCGATTTGGGAATTCTTTTACATACAAACCGTTTGTTTTAGATACACATACTTTAGATTGTTTAAGAATGGATTTAATAAAGTTTGGCAATGTAATATGTTTTTTACGTGTGTTTATAGTTGGTAACATTGTTATAATTAGGCTCTCGAAGTACTTTCTCCATAAAGAATTATTTTTTTTTATTAGGGTGTTATTAGGAGGATGGATAACACCTTGGAGAGAGGAATCGGAGAGCCGGGTTCGAAT